GGTAGTTTTCATACTGAAACGAGTTGAGAACTGCCGACATGAGTAGCCTTCAAGAACCTTCTAATTTTTTTCATGGACACAGATACACAACCCGTTTTCTCGGCAATGGCTTGAGGACACTGAAGACCGCAAAGACGATGCTAACACTTCAAGGTGGGCCGCCGTTGTTTTCGGCTTTCCATTCGCATGTAATTTTTGTTATTTGTACATCGGTCGAACTGTTCTGTTCATTATATATGGCGGTGTACCCCTCCTTGTGTACTTAGAGTACAGTAATGAGGTCTTCTGCAGACTATGCAAGAACCGCTTTGTAGGAGGACTAATTGGAAGTAAATTTGTCGACTATTCGTGATGTCGACAGTAGCATGCCTCGGCCATTATGCATCATTTATGATCTTCCGGTGTTATGTGGTTTGTATACCCAATCTTCTTCTCGGTGAATGGACGATTTTTTCCACTGGCCATTTTGAAATTACACTTTCAAAGTGAAGCTTATCTTTCTTTATGAAAAAAAATGTATTCCATCAGCATCAGAAACCACACAGTAATGTTTAAAGAAAAAATTATTTCCATGCACAGAAAATGAAATACTTTTGCCAGCAGCTGTTAATTATTTTGTAATTTCTCAGTCGAGGACTGGCCCCTCGAAAAGTAACCTTACATAAACTTCTGTTCCGATGACCTTTCTCTATCCACGAAATCAAGATAAATGCGCTTCGCTTTAGTCGGCCGCGTTTTGAACAATGTCAACACGGAAACAGTACCCCAAATCCTAACGAGGTCGCTTCTAAACACATAAGACAACTGCAATAACATACTCAATCTGGGGGATTGTCTGAAAGGCTCCCTAAAAGATAATTAGTTGGAGAATTGCGTAAAAGGTTTGTAAGGTTACATGCTGTTTTAATTGCCCAGCCGTTTGCATCAACAGGATTCATGGACTTTTACAATATATTTTGTTCATGTGACACTAATATTTGAGCTACCACCAATTTTATATTTCTTGAGAAGATGGTTATTTATAATGAACATAATATGAACGAAGGTGGCGAATTGGGAGG